TTCATTCATCACATCAGACTTGCAAGATTAGGATTGGGCTTTCTAGTGCAATTGTGACTTTCAGCCTGTGGCTGGCACAACTGGGGACAAGAATATGGCTCTAGAGAGCCTGAGAAAAGTAACTAGCAGAAGCCAGACTATTGCTAAAAGACTCTTGTGCCATTAGGAAATGTTTAGGGGCTGTGGATTTAGAGACTATGGAAAACTGTTGTATTAAGCCTTCCCCAAAGGCAGCTTTTAAAACCAAGCAACTTACAGAGCCAATTTGTTTCTCCTGTACAGCTATCCTGGTGTTCAGCTCTCTCCATTTTCCACTGACAGACAGACACAGAGCAGCCGATGACCCTGTGCCAGGTCTCCCTGTCATCGTGTCTTGGTGTAACTGCCAGTGGTGAGCCTGCAACCCTGTTAGCATGAAGCGCAGTGCCATCTAGTGCCTTCTGCTGTCTGCAGTGGCTACTGGGGATGGAAAAAGGGTCCATAAACTCCTGCCACAGGGCTCAGCAACCTGAAACGGGTCAGAGAGGAGACGAGGCACACCGCGGGGCCTCCAGCTAAAAGGCAAAGCCACTCAAGGCCTGATGTTACACACTGAGAAGCAATCATATTTAAAAAGCGAATCTTGTTTTAAAAGATGTTAGCCCTAACTAGTTTTAAAATAGGTTAATCCTGACCTCTAGCCGCATTGGTTCCCTATAGGACAACCTCAAACATCTAAACTTCAAGAAATTCAACTAAGTACGTATGTATTCCTCTCTGTCCCTCCTATAGCAGGAAAGACTGCTAGCTTTCCTCAGCTTTTCTCCCCCTGCTGTTAACAGACACTGCAACAGAGCAGCGGCTCCATGTCAGGTAAAATCAAAATGTTTTATGGGTTGAAAAAAGCCTGGCAGGGCTGCACGGCTCTCTTGCGGGCGACAGCTGAGGAGGGTTTAGGCTCGGATAGGAGAGGAAAGGCTGTAACGCGGGCTCTGTTTGCAAAGGGATCTTTGTGATTTCCTGCTGCCGGCACGAAGCGTCAGCCCGGGGATGCGGCTTTCCCTTGGACCTACCCTCGCCGCCACCATTTACCCCGACGCCAACACCGCACCACCCCCCGTGCTGAGGGGACCCTGCGGCTGAGCCGTGCCCGGGAAACAGCAGGGAGGCCCCGGCTGCCGCTGCCAGGGGAGAGCAGCGC